CTTTGATAGTGATGTGCAAATAAGCCAAAACAATACAAAGCAGACAAGGATAAACTAAAGCTAATCAATGAACGATAAACCAAGGGATTCTCCTTGGAGAGGATATCACTGTCTCTCAAAACATCACATTCAAAACGAAGAGGACGCACATAAACAAAAGGCTTGATCTCCAGCATCATCGAAGAAACTACACCCTCAACAACATCATGATGTATGTGCATTGATGTTGTTTGATCTAGTAACCAGAAACTAGATTAAGGGTTTTTCCCCAAAACCATGAGTAGACGCCCCTACACACCCAGTAGATCGCCCCGGGATATACCAAGAGTGAAATGGCTCGTTTCTGCCGCATCTCGAGACTAATTTGTAATCAGCGTGTGCAGGATTGCCGGCACAACACTTGTTTTTGAGTTGCCTGAAACTGATTAGCATCGCACGTCAGTGTGAATTAGTCTGCCAAGGTAAGAATTAACTAAAGATACACGAGGTCATTACCTGTCCCCTACTCCCCTTGCATGCTGTCACTGTCGAGTCAGGTTTGACATATGCTTTCCAGGCCGGAATGGCCAGCTTGCAAAGTCAGCTCATCGACTGTGTGTATGTGCGTGTGATGCGCGTACGCCATTGTTGCCTCGCCGATAGTCGTGGCTGGCTGGCCGTTGGATCGCTGCAAAAGTTGCAAGCAACAAACTGAAACCGTTGCAGCCATGCTCCCATTTCAGTAACAAACTAATAACAACCTGTTGGCCTAGGCTTTGAAGATTCTACACTAGTCCTACTTGGCTCCCTCAACGCAAACTGTCATATTTTTACACATTTTATGTTGTTAGCCAAACATTTGGACGTTTCATGACGTACTATTAGAAGGCAGCAATTCATATGCATGAAGGTTCCTTGTACCGCTAAGTAACCTTTGTACACATTTTATGTTGTTATACTTGTTAGACACATGTTTGTCACATCATGATCGTATGTGTTTTCTTCGACACAGAGGCCGGAGTGAAATGCGCGGTAGTCCTAATAGTTTTCTTCGTGTAGAAATGCGATTCTGGACACGCATCCTGTGACGTACCGTGCATATTCTGATCCTTGGTCCATCCCACGGGGTGAGGGCGCCGAGATGCGCGCGGCGACGAGATTACTTAGCTGTCCTGCTCATTTTCCTACCTCTCTCGACCCTGCTGTATGTCCCTTGTTTAATCCCATGATTCCGTCAGGTGCAATAATACGCATTCTTTCCTTGTTAGACAATGCTAATTGCACTTACAGCCGGTTAAGAGATGAGAGTTGAGAGACGTTCAATCATCCCAATGTCAACTCTCTGCTGCCTGCAAATGCAAATGCATGCACGCGCATCTGCCTATAAATACCTCGCTGATGCAAGATCAAAAGCACAAACCCCATCGCCATTACATTCCAGGCCAAGCTCAATAGCAGCAACCACCACCATTAGCCGCTCTTAGTTGTGAGTGCAACTAGGCTAGCTCAAGAAAGATGGAGGTGCAGGCCGGCTCTCATGCCGACTCCTCCGCCGCGAGCAAGTTCACGCTGCCGGTGGACTCCGAGCACAAGGCCAAGTCCTTCCGGCTCTTCTCCTTCGCCAACCCTCACATGCGCACCTTCCACCTCTCGTGGATATCCTTCTTCACCTGCTTCGTCTCCACCTTCGCCGCGGCGCCGCTGGTGCCCATCATCCGCGACAACCTCAACCTCGCCAAGGCAGACATCGGCAATGCCGGTGTCGCGTCTGTGTCCGGGTCCATCTTCTCCAGGCTGGCCATGGGCGCTATCTGCGATCTCCTTGGACCGCGGTACGGTTGCGCCTTCCTGGTCATGCTCTCGGCGCCCACCGTCTTCTGCATGTCCGTCATCGATGATGCCTCGGGGTATATCGCCGTCCGCTTCCTCATTGGCTTCTCACTCGCCACCTTCGTGTCATGCCAGTACTGGATGAGCACCATGTTCAATAGCAAGATCATTGGCACTGTCAATGGCCTGGCTGCAGGCTGGGGCAACATGGGTGGCGGTGCCACACAGCTCATCATGCCGCTTGTCTTCCACGCAATCCAGAAGTGTGGTGCCACGCCATTTGTAGCATGGCGTATTGCCTACTTTGTGCCGGGAATGATGCACATCGTGATGGGCTTGCTAGTGCTCACCATGGGGCAAGATCTCCCTGACGGGAACCTTGCAAGCCTCCAGAAGAAGGGAGACATGGCCAAGGACAAGTTCTCCAAGGTCCTTTGGGGCGCTGTCACCAACTACCGGACATGGATCTTCGTCCTCCTCTACGGCTACTGCATGGGTGTCGAGCTCACCACCGACAATGTCATCGCCGAGTACTACTACGACCACTTCCACCTAGACCTCCGCGCTGCAGGCACCATCGCCGCTTGTTTCGGCATGGCAAACATTGTCGCGCGTCCTATGGGTGGCTACCTCTCCGACCTTGGTGCCCGGTACTTCGGCATGCGCGCTCGCCTTTGGAACATCTGGATCCTCCAAACCGCCGGCGGCGCTTTCTGCATCTGGCTCGGTCGTGCATCAGCCCTCCCTGCCTCAGTGACTGCCATGGTGCTCTTCTCCATCTGCGCCCAAGCCGCGTGTGGTGCTGTATTTGGCGTGGCACCCTTTGTTTCTAGACGTTCCCTTGGCATCATCTCCGGGCTGACAGGTGCTGGTGGAAACGTGGGTGCGGGGCTCACGCAACTTCTCTTCTTTACTTCATCACAATACTCCACTGGAAGGGGTCTGGAGTACATGGGCATCATGATCATGGCATGCACGCTGCCTGTCGCTCTTGTGCACTTCCCACAGTGGGGCTCGATGTTCTTCCCGGCCAGCGCCAACGCCACAGAGGAGGAGTACTATGCCTCCGAGTGGTCGGAGGAGGAGAAGAACAAGGGTCTCCATATTGCCGGCCAAAAGTTTGCTGAGAACTCACGCTCGGAGCGTGGCAGGCGCAACGTCATCCTTGCCACGTCCGCCACGCCACCCAACAATACGCCCCAGCACGTATAAGATTGGATTGTTTTTCATATACTATGTACAAGTACTAAACTACAGTGCATGCAAATATGCACATCGCATATATACGCCTGCAACATCGGCTGTAATAAGGCGTACGAATTTAGATTTCTAGTGTAGGCATGTGTAATGCGTTTCTTACGCACGAAATGTTTTGGTGTGTGCATGCACGCATGCGAGGTACCTGTACCTGTGGTCTGAATTTACAACAACTTTGAGATTATGTGTCTTGTGTACCTCCGATTCCTCTCCTGGCAAGTTTAGATACATAATCTGCAAAAATGGCAGTGGCACTCAGTTAGTTTTCTCCATACATGAGTTATTAATTTCTTAATTGAGGTGCCAATAGTATACCTAAATCGTGAACCTAGGTTAGCACCTACCTTAGAAAAACAAAATACTTCATTCAAATTTGAGGTTTCACATTTCAATTTTTCTTTTGAGGTTCCAAGCCCACCAAATAATTCCACATCTCCTGCAAGCTAATACTCCCTCCGTCCCAAAATAAGTGTCTCAACTTTGTATTAACTTTAGTACATAGTTGAACTAAAGTCAAGACACTTATTTTGGGACAGAGGGAGTAGTTGTTTCATTGGGGAACAAGACTTCCACTCTCACCCACATTCCAAATAAATAGTACTCCCTCCGTCTCATAATGTAAGACGTTTTTTGACACTACACTAGTGTCAAAAAACATCCTATATTATGAGACAGAGGGAGCAGTATACTAATGACTAGAAATTTCAAATTAGAAACTAGCTAATTAAATTTTGAAAGAGTTTAGGTATTCTGATTGAGAGGGCATGGCGGAAGTACGGAACATGTTGACGAGGCTTGAAATAACCTTTATAAATGAGATTCAAAACTTCAACTAGGGTCCAGCCTTCCATGGACTTCTAATTGAATTTCAACTACCATTATTACAATGGAAGTTTCAATTTGACCTTATATACTTTTCAATGGTTTGGACAAGCTTTTTTGGTAACCGAAATTTTTGCACCTATATCCAAACTACACTTTGTTCATCCATTTTCCCATTCAATTATTGGGGTCCTAGAAGACACCCAATATTCAAAAAATGTAGTCACCGGTCTTGATTTTTAATGCAATATTTATAACATAAGGTGTGGAGTTATAAGCAAAACTGGTAGCAAAATCATGTAAAGAGAGCATATTGATGCTTATACCTAGAGTACGTAAGTTCCATTTGTAATAGGTATATGCGACAAAGTGTAACTTTTTTACCATATTTGGTTTCTGTGGCATACTAACCATTCAGGACTCAAAATCATGTCAGACTGAGCGATTGGGCAAATTTGACACGGCGCTGCCATGTGTTTATCTACCAAGGTCGCTCTCGCTTGCTCAGCTCTGATCACAACTATAAGTTCATGCATACCTCAAACTTCTTTTGACTTTGCCAAATAATTTAAGCTTAGTTTCCACCCTAGCTTTGGTTTCGTGTCTCTTTCATATTCTAATTAACTAAAAGAGGTGACAGTTTAGTTATCCAAAAGAAGGTTGCAATGCCAAATAAGTTCACACAGGAGCTTCCATATCTTATCTATCGATTGCACTCTCTAAGTTGACATTGGATCAGGCAATGTCCAAGACTCCAACTCCACTTTTCATCTGATTATATACCTTTCTCATTTTAATATGGAAATGTCGTTTGTAGGTGGTGATAAGCCATTTGCCGTGGATTCGTCAGCTCCAGCAAGTACCTGAGTTGTACCTTTTATTTGTTTAATGATGACACTTCCATGAACTTTGGGGTATCTACCACACGCGTATCCTTGCTGTCTAGAAAGCCAAAATGTTTCTTTGAATGGTTCTTGTAGTTGACACTTTGTTGTAGTGGTAGTACTTAACTATATTTTGTAGTTGTTGACTAACTGCAATGGATGATGCTGACTCACATGATGCTGAGTCACTACATGAAACTAGAGTTTATTATTTCCCAAGAAATTGATTGTTGGTATTTATTCACTTGACCCTAATTTTTCCACTCTAGTCCAGAACAGAAAATTTTGAGTGCATACATATATATGATCCAGCCCAGAGTCAACTTTCTCAAGAAAGAACAAAATGTTTAGTCAAGTATCAATTAGAAAGTTTAAGGGCCTGTTTGAGCACAGAATTTTCATAGGAATTTAGAGTATTGCAATATTTGTTAAAAAAAATTCTATGCGGATTGTTTGATTTAAATGTGTGTATAATCAATAGGACTTTCTTCATGTATGGGATATCATTTGCATCATGTATTGTGAGATACTTTCCACTGTTTCGTATATCTTCAAAAATTCATACAATTTTACTATGGTGAGTTGTATTCACGTCGTCATGATCATATACGTACACAGAGATTATATGTTAGCTCCATGGACTTCGGCCATAGGGAGCCTTAGTCACCGGAGGATAATGTTCATGGACTTTGGCCACGCAGCAATATATTTGTAAACGTTGGTCGGATATGCACATGAACCGACAGGATAAGATGATAAGCTCTGACAGAGCTGGCCTTTACGTGAATATGATCTGATCTGCAGAGAAATGTATATCTGTCGCCAATGTCAAACCCCAACTAGCTTGCCAATCATGCATGGAACATTCTATTTAATCCACGTACGTCAAGCACAACTTTTTTTGAAAAGGAGGATCACCCCCGGCCTCTGCATCAATGGATACATGCAGCCAATCGTCAAGCACAGCTATAATTAGCCAACTTTATTTTTGGATGTACGTTGCATGTACGATTGTATCTCCGGGCAAGATAAGGCTGATATTTCCAGCACGTACATGTGGCCGACATTGTATTTGCTAGCTTCACCAAACATAACCCCTATAGCAAGGAATAGTGGTCACCCGTTAGGGAAGGTCAATTTTTGGACCAGGTGCATTTTCCGTTTTGGTAAGTCAAACTTTGTCAAACTTCACGTTTTGGTAACTTTCTTTTAGCACCAATTTTAATGGAAAATTAGAAATTTCAAAGTTTTTGAAAAAATCAGCAAAATAAACAAAATTCTGACATCTATATAATTTCACTTTCATGAATTACAAATGTCAGGTATTTTAAACTTAAAAGACACATAAGCAGAATTTTATAATGAACCAGATGGCATACAGAAGGGCGCCTCAATGCGTGCACCCAGCTCTCATTGCGCCCCTTTGCTGGATTTTTTCAGAAGGTGCCTTTTGGAGGGTAACTTGGCAATTGGTACCGGCCGTAGGATCACCTAGGATTTTTTTTTCAGAATTTTCAGAGTTAAGGATCTCCGAGAATCAATTATATTTGAGGTGTCAGGTGGTTGTCATATGTGGTCGATATACCACCTAAAACATGCCAAGTACTCTGGCCATTGTCAAAAAAAATAGTATTGATAGTTTTATTTTTGCGAGAAAACTTTCGACCTATTCATCAACTGTCAAAGTAGTACAAAAAACACCAGAAGTAAGAACTACATCCAGGTCCATAGACCACCTAGCGACAACTACAAGCACTGAAGCGAGCCGAAGGCACGCCGCTGTCATCGTCCCTCCCTCATCGAAGTCGGGCAAACATTGTTGTAGTAGACAGTCAAGAAGTTGCCGTGCTAAGGCCCCATATGACCAGCGTACCAAAACAGCAGCCGCCGCCGATGAAGAAAAGCCTGGATCATGGATCAGACAGTATTGGTAGTTCACGGTGACGAAAAATGGTTGAGGAACAAAAGATACACTACACTATAAGTCGAGGGACAAAAATACAGTTATCTTGCAAAACGATGGTTAAATTTGTCATGTACAAACAAGACAACTAGTTGCAATAACACTATTTACTAGATAAGTTGATTTTTCTGCAAGGTATATTTGAACAAAGTTTTGCATGTCTTCAAACTTTTCGAGAAATTTTGAAGATGCACAAGTACATGAATAGTCTTACAGTGAGACATCCACCTTAAGTATGCATTGAGTTAATTGCATCATTAATTTATATCCCGCAGTACGTGCAACCAAACATTTTGCAGTTTACTAGTATGTACTAAATCATTTCGTCGACGTCTTTACTACTGTCATGGACATGTTCTTGACTAGTTTCTTTTTAAGATCCATTTATTGTATGCTAAAATAGCAAGCATACATGAACACTTGGAACAAAAAAAATAGCACTTTATTTCCATTTCACTCAAAGGTCTTTATACTCACCAATTGCTTACACATATGTCGGTAGATGAAGAACCGGAAGTACACAAGTACAATGGCAAAACAGATTCAAACTGTTCATTTAACTTTGGGACCGACGTCCCAAGTGGACACGTACATAAACACCCTCGCTCGCATGCAGTGCACACGCACATGCATCCACGCATTTCCCGCGCGTACACAGAAAATTCACTACCATATATACTTACGGAAAGGGAATACATTCAAAAAACATACTGCTTGCGGATTTCAGGCGTATATACACGACGTGTATATGATGCGCGCACTGTACGTGTACACAGGTAAAGAGAGGCTCAAGTCTTATGCGTGCTCGGGAGTGTTGTTGGGGGGTGTGGCGGCCGTGGCAAGGATGACGTTGCGCCTGCCACGCTCTGAGCGGGAATTCTCGGCGAACTTTTGGCCAGGGATATGGAGACCCTTCTTCTTCTCCTCCTCCGACCACTCGGCCGCGTAGAAGTCCTCCTCGGTGGCGTTGGCGTTGGGTGGCAAGAGCATGGATCCCCACTGTGGGAAGTGCACGAGCGCCACAGGGAGCGTGCAGGCCATGATCATGATACCCATGTACTCGAGCCCCCTGCCGGTGCCGTACTTCGACGACGTGAAGAACAGCAATTGTGTCAGCCCGGCGCCAAAGTTGCCACCGGCTCCGCTCATGCCTGAAATGATGCCGAGGGAGCGGCGGGAGACGAAGGGGATGACACCGAAGACTGCGCCGCATGCTGCCTGGGCGCAGACGGAGAAGAGGACCATGGCGGTGACTGATTCAGGGAGGGCTTTCGCACGGCCCAGCCAGAGACAGAAAGCGCCACCGGCGGTCTGCAGGATCCATATGTTCCAAAGGCGGGCACGCATGCCGAAGTAGCGGGCGCCGAGGTCGGAGAGGTAGCCACCCATGGGCCTAGCGACGAGGTTTGCCATGCCGAAGCATGCGGCGATGGTGCCGGAAGTCCGGAGGTCAAGGTGGAAGTGGTCGAAGTAGTACTCGGCGATGACGTTGTCGGTGGTGAGCTCAACACCCATGCAGTATCCGTAAAGGAGGACGAAGATCCATGTCCGGTAGTTGGTGACGGCGCCCCAAAGGACCTTGGAGAACTTGTCCTTGGCCACGTCCCCCTTCTTCTGGAGGCTGGCAAGGTTTCCATCAGGAAGATCTTGCCCCATGGTGAGCACCATCAAGCCCATCACGATGTGCATCATTCCAGGCACAAAGTAGGCAATACGCCATGCTACGAAGGGCGTGGCACCACACTTTTGGATGGCGTGGAAGACGAGTGGCATGATGAGCTGAGTGGCACCGCCACCCATGTTGCCCCAGCCAGCCGCGAGGCCGTTGACAGTGCCGATGATCTTGCTGTTGAACATGGTGCTCATCCAGTACTGGCACGACACAAACGTCGCGAGGGAGAAGCCGATGAGGAAGCGGACGGTGATGTAGCCGGCCGCATCATCGATGAGGGACATGCAGAAGACGGTGGGCGCCGCGAGCATGACGAGGAAGGCGCAGCCATAGCGCGGGCCAAGGAGATCGCAGATGGCCCCCATGGCGAGCCTCGAGAAGATAGAGCCGGACACGGACGCCACCCCGGCGTTGCCGATGTCGGCCTTGGCGAGGTTGAGGTTGTCGCGGATGATTGGCACCAACGGAGCCGCAGCGAAGGTGGAGACGAAGCAGGTGAAGAAGGAGATCCAGGAGAGGTGGAAGGTGCGCATGTGCGGGTTGGCGAAGGAGAAGAGCCTGAAGGACTTGGCCTTGTGCTCCGAGTCCACCGGCAGCGAGAACTTGCTCGCAGCCTCGTCGCCGGCGCCATGCGAGCTCGACTCCACCTCCATCCTCCTCGAGCTTGCTAGCCTAGTCGCACTGGCAACTAAGTGCGTCTCTAATGGTGGCTGCTCCTTCTCCTAGATGGAGAGCTTGCAATGGCGCTGGTGTTGATGCTTTGGATCTGGGATCGGCGAGGTATTTATAACCGAGGCGCGCTCGCATGCAGCTCGCAGGGGGGGCAAGAGCGAGCAGAGTTGACATTGGGATCCGATCTTACTCGATTCCTGAAGATTCTAGCCAGTTTCACAGCTCTAGGTTAACCAGCAACCTGGCCTTTGGGCATCGTAGAAAAGCAATTGCATCCTACGGAATCATTCATGTTTAACAAAGCAACCAAGGGAGGGAACCGAGTGAGATAGTTGATTAATCACTCCAGTTTTGGCTTAATCTGGCCCCCACCTTTGGAGAGCGTTGAATCTGGGGGAGGAAAAAGTTAATTAACCGATTGTTAAGGGATTTTAGACTAGATCCTCGCCGCCGCATCTCCTGCGTGTGTGCCTTTTGGGGGCCCCGGCACGGGTGGTTATCCCATGGGATCGGCCAAGGATCAGCGCGTGACTCGACGCGTGGATCCAGCGTTCATTGACTTGGGTGCCGGTTCGGGGCACGGCCTGATATTTTGTGTGCCCACTTGGGCACTTGCTGCTGTCAGCAGCTGAGAATCAAGCGGCAGGTTCGCCTCCTTGATTTGGCGGAATTAATGTGGGATGCTGTTCACATGGTTTCAAGTAGTTTGGGTAAATTTAAAACCCAAGCAGAATTTTAGGAAATTCAGTTGGTAGCAAAATTTGAGTTAGATTTGAGTCTGCGTTGAAATTTGCCTCGGTAGAAACAGGTGAATTCCGCCTGGCGGTAAAAATTGCAAGTCCGTGTGTATGTAGTTGAATTTGGAGGTAATATATTTGAATCATGATTGAGTGTTCAATTCAACTATGGCGAAATGACTTCGCCCCTTCAAGGACATGTACGGCCAAATATTTACCTCTGTCGGCCTAGATAAAAGGCTGAATTGGCTTTGTGCATCTTCGTTATGCAGAGGCCGGGTGTTTTTACTCATCATGCTGTGTATATGCTTGATGCTACATTTTGAGTTAATAAAAGTGCCCTTTATCAAAAAGAGATAAAAGGCTGAAATCTTTACCTATGAAAATATGCAGTAAAAATGGACTTTTTGTCACCACGACAATAATTTTGGAATGGTGGGAGTAATTTTTTTATGAGATTTCAATTTGGTACAAACATTTCTTAATCTTCAATCATGCATGTGAACCCTTTATCTTGGAGGAAATCAAGCACGCAAACGGTTGTGTGTTAGTCCTAGCCTGTGAGTCGTGGTGTCATATGTGAGCAAGATGCAGCCACGCTAGCAAGGGAGAAGAAGCTAGATGAAGAGTGTTTCTGAGGATGATGAAGTAAATAGTTGAAACCCAACAATGATGTTGGCGATGACGCGTGACATCCCTTGGGGCTCCTTGGAGGTTGGTTGGGAAAAAGAAAGGGCAACTGCCATGCCTTAGGCTCCCTGTGTCCGCCAAGCTCTCTGATCGAGCTTGGCCCTGAGCTACTATCTTTTTCAGCGACCGAATGGGCATGATGACCTTGGGGATGCATTGGTCTATCTTTCTCTGAGATACGCTTGCATAGATCAACCGAATCTTTCCAACAAACTGTTTCTGAAAAAGAAACATGCTGAACACTCCATCCATTGTTGCACACAACCATTGCATCTTGTGTCAAGTAGTGTGAACTTATGTACACTAGTCGACATAACATCCACATCATTTTCATTAATTTGGGGGGTAGCTATATATGGCTTCCTGTTTCTTCCAAACCTACGTGTGCGTGTGACGGCAGTTAATTGGACACGCATCTAATCTAGTTAACGATCCAACATCCATGGATCAGCTCATGGGGTTAACTTTATTAATTTAATGGCCTCTTGAGGACACCGGATACCCAAGAGCTAGCTAGCTACACAACACATTCATGTCAAATATGGCATTCACACAAGAATGTCCATATCATGTCTCCATCGTCTTAATTTACAGGTTCTTCTTCACCATCAACGGTGCCAGTTAACCCTCATATATAAGTCGGCCTCCCGAGATGTTAGCATCATACTTGCTCACTACTACTTTCTAGCATAATTAATCTAAGTAGCTAGCTACTCCAGCACTCCAGTAAACCACATGCCTATAATTGAGTTGGTTTATATTAACATATACATTGCATCTTCATTGGTTTGTTGAGTTGAAATTTTGCAAGGAGACAGACAATCATGCTCATCACAGAAGATGCAATCTGGCTCTTTGGACTTATCAGGGCTGCCGGCCCTGCTGCTATGATAAGGCATAATCATCTGAATGATTCAGATAGCTGAACGAGTATACCACCTCAAACGATTAGTTAATAGATGAGTATGATGTTCTCATACAAATATCTAGGAGCCTTTGCACCATGATAGGCTTAGAAGAGAAGACCTCCAACCTATAGTAGATAAAATGTGTGAAATACATAACTGGATGAAGGGGGCAAACTATTGCCCTATGGTGGGAGAACAGTCCTGATCAAGGCATGCATGCTTAACAAGCATCCTAGGTTATTTTTTTACCTTTTCTCACCTAGTGAACTTTTGAAGTTTATCAACACACAGGTGTCTAACTGTGTCTTTGGAAGAAAGACAATCCTAAACCCTGAATTATGGTGCTTGGTTCGACTTCCCTTGCCTATGAAGCCAACTTCAACTCTCTAAGACTTTTTAACATGAACTCCCTAGCCTACTTTGGACAATCTATTTACATTTGAAGACTTTTAAAGGGTGAAATATTTCATGGATACAGGGAATGCTACAAGATTATAACCTGTGAAGGTAAACAAGTTTATCTAAAGAACTTGACATTATGATGTTTTGGACTATATAGTGAGAATCTGGGCACAACAGGAGGGCACAAAGATTCAATATCGGGTCATTGTCCACAAACAAATAAGACACGTCACCTTATATGATTCCTTAGACTAAATTTTATAGCATGTCACTAGCTGGATCTTATTTATAGAAAGTTTGATCGTTATTTTTGTTCTTATTTAGGGTGGTTGATTGATCTTCTTTAGTTCCTACTAAGTATATATCTTGCTTATTTGGAGTCATATGGAGGAGTTGTTCATGTGGGTCCCCTCACATGGGCTGACCCAATAATGGTGAGTCTTTCTAAAAAAAAAGGTTATTTAAAAACAATATTTTGTTGGTTTCTGTTTTTCTCTTTTTATTTTAACTTTTATTTATATTTCTGTTATCTATGTTCTCTGGGTGAGTACATGGAATTTTATGAAATACATGAACATTTACACTTGAACATTTATTTTCAAACATAAATATCTTTCAGGATATATGAAGATTTTTATATAGAAACATTTTCTGATAATTTGTTAACATTTCTTTTGCAGTACATGAACACTATTTTGATATATGTTGACGTTCTTTCTTGCAACACATTAACTTTTTGTCACTAAAAATTATTTAAAAATATAAACTATTTTTTGGAAATACACAGATAATTATTGTGATATATTCAATATTTATTTGCAGTATGCAAAATTTCTTTTGTACATGGATGTATAAAATTAGTGAAATAAATAAATTTTCTAGAGTTATAAAAAAAGAAAAACTGTACACATTAATTGGGCACGCAAAGTGATATCCAATGTAGGAGCACTGGGTCAACATAGTGACAATCCGGGCACAATCAGGAGGCGCACAAAGATTCAATATTGGGTCATTGTCCATGAGTAAACGAGACACGTCGCCTTATATGATTCCTAAGGATAAATTTTATTAGCATGTCACTAGCTGAATCTTATTTAGAGAAAGTTTGATCGTTATATTTGCTTTCATTTTAGGGTGGTTGATTGATCTTTGTTATTTCCTACAGGTATATATCGCGTTTACTGTGACTCATGTGGAGGAATCGCTCACATGGATTCACCCAATAACAGCAAGTCTTTCTCCGCACACAAAAAAGTCAGTTTTAAACAAATCTTTTCATGGTTTCTTTCTTTTTGTAATTTTTGTTTCTTTTATATGTGTTTGCTCGGCGAATACATGATTTGTTTTTTGAAATACACGGACATCTCTGCTAGAATACTTGAATACTTTTTCAAAATAAAAATATCTTTCAAGATATATGAAGATTTCTCTTCATATACAAACGTTTTCTTACAATTTATTAAAATTTCTTTCGAAGGAGACCTGGACATTATTTCGATATGTTTATCTTTTCATATACAACATTTTTTTAAACACATAGACAATTATTATGATATATTTAAAATTTATTTGTAATGGATTTATTATTAAACAGATTATACAAAAGTAGTGAAATAGATTATTATTTTAAGCAAAAGTAGTGAAATATATACATTTTGAGCGAAATAACTAATTAACAAGCATTCTTTGCAAAGGTTACTCCCACCTCCCAAGGTTGCGACAACCAGGTAGTTTTCCCATTTTTCGTAGCTTCATTTATTTTAAAAAAATTATCTCTCAAACGTTCGTCCAAATCTTGAACCGTTTTCATTGTTGGACTCCTCGTGTCGAGATCTTGAAAAACTAGATCTCATGTTGATAGGTTTCGACGAACATTTTTTTCATGAAGAAAACTGAACTCGGAGCACATATTTTTCCCTTTCCGAAGAGGCACTGTGTCTCCCGCGGAATCAAATTCATGCCTCCACGAGAAGTAAATCTGTCCTCTCGCGGAAAGAAAAAAACACACACATTTTTTTTCCTTTCCCGAGAGGCACGACGGTGCCTCTCACATAAGCAAATTCGTGGCTCCACGATAAGTAAATTTGTTCCACTCGCAGAAGAAGAAAAAAGAAACTATGGTTTTTCTCTTTCCTGAGAGGCATGACCATGCCTCTCATGGAAGCAAATTCATGCCTTCTCGAGAAGTAAATTTGTGCCTCTCGCGGAAGCAAAAGAAACGTGATTTCTCCCCTTTCCCGAGAG